AGATGAGGAACCTTTGAACTACGGCCATGCTCTGCTTTCAGGTGAAGGTGCAGCTATGGCTGAGTATGTAAAAGCTGGAAAGCGTATCCCACGAAGAGGTGAAATTGGGCTGAGAAGTGAAGAGATTGCTTCTTTTGAATGCTTAGGTTATGTTATGAGTGGTAGCAGGCATTGCAGAACGGAGGCTGTATGACTGCGTAAAGAGAACCAGATCTATAGTGCTGATGGGAAGAGAGCCCTTGCATCCTTTAACCAAGAAGAGAGACGGAAGAGAGAATAAGATTCTAGCTAGTTTCAGAGAGATGGTGTACCGAAAGACAAAAAGGAAAGATGACAAATAAGAACTTTTGTTCTATAGCTGGACTTTTAAGAATTTTATCTGACCAAAATTAGAAGGCTTTATGATGCTGCTGTACCTACTATAAGTTCCTCAAGAAAAAACTGCTTTTTGAGATCTCTTAGCAATTTATTTTTTGTTATTTTTAATTTTAAAAGTAAAAAGTGCACGTTTTAAAAAATATTCAAACACTACAGGAGGAAAGTCAGTAAAATGTAAGTCTTTTACCCCAGCCCCTGATCCTTCTCCCCAAAGAAATCTCTTTTTGGAATCTTCTATATCTGTCCATAAGTTCCGTGTATATATAAGCATGTGTGTTGCAGGCTAAAGATTGGATCTATTAACCTGAAAGGTTTTTTGTTTTTTTCCCTGTTGCTCTGACTTTTCTCTCTTTGAGGGCTTCATTGCCTCATGGAGCCGTTTATTTACCCCAGGGAGAACCAGAAGAACCCCAGAAAGAACAAAGGATTCAATTGAGTGTATATTTCTGGTTTCCATTTAACACTGAGTTAAAAAGTAGAGGTTTAGGGGCTTCCCTGGTGGCGCAGTGGTTGAGAGTCCGCCTGCCGATGCAGGGGACATGGGTTTGAGCCCCGGTCCGGGAAGATCCCACATGCCGCGGAGCGGCTGGGCCCATGAGCCATGGCCTCTGAGCCTGCGCGTCTGGAGCCTGTGCTCTCCAACGGGAGAGGCCACAACAGTGAGAGGCTCGCATACCGCAAAAAAAAAAAAAAAAAAAAAAAAAGTAGAGGTTTATTGGCTCATTTTCCTCTTCAGGCTGGTTTCCCTTAAATAACGAAAAGGCTGCCAAAGCTCCTGAGTTTGGTTATATATTTTTCTGGTCCACCTATGAAGAGAGAACATTTTTGTCCTGGCATTCCAAACAAGAATACCGAGATGCAGCCTAATTAGATTAGCTTAGGTCACATGCCCTTCCTCAGAAAAGGAATTGTTGCAAGGGAAATAGAATGGCCTATTCCTGAATCTGCAGGTTTTTGTCACCCTAATGGGCTACATGGGCAAGGAATGGATACCTGAGTGAAAATCAGAGTAATGTTGGGAAGTGGGGGTAGGCAACCAACAAATGCCCACTACAGTTTTGAATGATTTTTTTAAAAATATAGAATAGAGCCAAAGTTTTCTTGAAGAAAAGCTTGGCTTTGACTTAGAAGCCGAGTACCTGATTGAAGGGGTGATAGGATTTATCCATAAAAATAAACATAAATAAGATAACGATCCAGAGTGCTTGAGTATTCCAAAGAGTAGATTAGGCACCAGCTAGACTAGGAGGAGAAAGAACAAAATGAGAATAAAGGAGGAGCTCCTGAAAAGGAGATCAGATCAGGTGGGACCAGGTGGACAAGAGAGTTAGCATTGAGAGACTGGCTAGCACCAGTGCTGGAAAAGACTTTTAGAGTGAGCTCCACTCATGTTCTGTGGTAAGGCTTTTGTTGTCATCCAGTGACATCTTCCGGAACTCTGAGACTTCAGCGCTAACCAAACTAATTTGGATAAGCCCCTTTTCAAGGCTCAAGACCCTGGTAACTCCACAGAGCTGAAGGAGAAGGAGTGCAGTTCTAGAATCTGGCAGGGCAGAGTGATGTAGAAGGGCACTTTTACCCCAGTATGTGACTTGATTGACACTGGACCACACTAGCTTGAGATTTTCCCCAAAGAGAGTTGGGTGAAAGCCGCCTTGTTACATATGTATATTTCCATTTTTAGAAACAAACCATACCACACTATACAGATGGATCTATACCTTGCTTTTTTCACTAAGCAATATATATTGGAGATATTTTATATCAATGCATGTAAATCTGTCTCTTTTTAATGACTTTATAATGTTCTGTTTTATGGAAGAACCATGTTTTATCCAATGTTTAAGATGTTTTCTGTATTTTGGTATTATACAATACTTGCAGTGAAAATCGTGGATGTATGAGAGTATTATCTGTAGCATACTCATCTAGAAATAGAATTAATTATTGGGTCAAAAGTCCTTTGGGTCATCTAAAAATGGCCATCTAGAAGTGGAATTATTAAATCAAAGGGAAGATATTTATAAGTGCTTTCTATGTGCAAGGCACTATAGCAGATATTAGGGACAAACCAAAGAGCAAGTTAGGCTTGATCCCTGCCATCAAAGAATTTTACATGCTACTGGTGTACTTGTAACTCATGGCTGTAATGCAACAGTGCCTCTGATCATATAGAAAAGGAAGCTTTTATTTTAAATATCCTATGAATGGACCTGATGGAAACATATAGACGACCGTTTTGTTTACAAAAATGAGGATAATCCTGGAAAATGAAAATCTCAAGTTTGAAAATTGATTTGTATTATTAGTGAAATGTAGCTCTGTCCTGGTAAAAATTGCATTTTGATTTGTTCTCACCTTATCTACCTCTACCCCTTCCAAAAGATACAAACAGACTACATAAAAATGCACACCTTGAATTTTTGTTGAAAAACTCTTGTTTGTCAAGCTACATTAAGTGTATTTATTTTCATGGGATAAACAACGCAATGCCAATAATCTCAGCCTTGATAATATGAGTGACATTTAAGAAGCCAGCCATGGTAGGGAGTTTGAAAGGGGGTAAATGAATTAGAATACATTTACTTCCTTTTAAAATTAAAATTTATGTTTACTCCTTGCATAATTTTTTTGGGGGGAAAGCACTTCTTTATAAATTTGAAAAATCAGTTGTATGTTTTCCTTTCAGGACAGAATATTAACTTCTAATTAGTAAAATATTTGCATTGACTGGATTTGTTAGCCTAAGGAAAAGTTGGGGGGTTTTTTTGCGGTACGCGGGCCTCTCACGCTTGTGGCCGCTCCCGTTGCACAGCACAGGCTCCGGATGCGCAGGCTCAGCGGCCATGGCTCACGGGTCCAGCCGCTCCGCGGCATGTGGGATCTTCGCGGACCGGGGCACGAACCCGTGTCTCCTGCATCGGCAGGCGGACTCTCAACCACTGCGCCACCAGGGAAACCCAGGAAAAGCTTTTAAGTAAATATACTTTAATTGTTTTGTTTGTTTTGTTGGTACGCGGGCGTCTCACTGTTGTGGCCTCTCCCGTTGCGAAGCACAGGCTCCGGACGCGCAGGCTCAGAGGCCAGGGCTCACAGGCCCAGCCGCTCCGCGGCATGTGCCACCAGGGAAGCCCTACTTTAACTTTTAAAAGATATTTTCGAGCTCTGACCCTCAAGGAGAAGATAACTCTCCTGATGATAGAATTATTTTTTCTTTCCTGTTATGAAAATTTCAGGCTTGAAACAATATGAATTATGTCATAAAACAATGGTTAGTATATTTGTTTCAAAATTATCAATGATTAAACCAAAGTTTGTTCAGGTTTTTTAAAGGGTTTATTTTGTTCACAGACTATAAAAATACAGTTTGTGATGAGGTGGGCAAGACAGGGAATATTTGTTTTCTTCTGCAGAATTTATTTTTGTAGTGATATATGAACCCCTGCACCACCCCCTCACCCCCATACATTGCAGAGAATAATCTTTGATTACTCTCTCCCATAGTAATAGACAGACTGTAACTGAGCAGGACCCTATGGGGCCTCCCCAGGACAGACACCTCCCCCATATCCTCTGCTGTGGCTCCTCTCTGAAGTATAGATACATAGATAATAGTATCTGATGCATTCTTCCTGAGTTGTTTTACAGATGCTAAAATTACCACCAAATGGAAGAAATTAACTACTTGATGATCATGAGCCCCCAGACCTACAGGCTCCTAAGAACTGATAATGTTAACCGCCCTGTTACCGCAACACCAACCAATCAGAGAAGTGTGCAGGAGCTTGACCACCGTCACCTGGCTTTTAAAAAAATGCTTTGCTGAAAACCTTTGGGGAGTTGGGGGTGTTTTGAGCACGGACCACGCGTTCTCCTTGCTTGGTCCTGCAATAAACCTTTCTCTGTTCCAGACTCCGACGTTTTGGTTGGTTTGGCCTCACTGTTCGTCCAGCTCACTAACTTGCGTTTTGTAACAATTCTGAATTTTTTATTATCTTAAACCCTTCAATACAAATATACGTTCGTTGTTCAATTTAATCTTCAAAATACTTTGACATTTATTTTTTCCACTGTATTTGATGACTTTTTAAATTGGGAACACATGGTAATATATGTGTCCGTGTTTTAATTACGTGAGTAAGCAAAGTGGAACGCCAGCTGTTTGTGATAACAGTAAAGTGAGCTGGCCCGTTTTTTACATGAATAAAATAAATTTCGGCTTAAAAAATGAAAAAACAGTAAGCGCACAACGGGACGCCCCTCTCAGCCGCGGGGCTTGGAGAACGTTCAGCCAACCGTTGGGAGCTTGGCCGCCTCCTGCGAGGCGGGAGCAGAAGGCCATCGAGCCGCGGTCCTCCCGCAGTCCTAGAGCGACGCTAAAGTGAACCGGGGAGCGAGAGCCGGAGATCAGCAAAGAGCTAAGACGGGGCTTGACAGCGTTTGGCCCTTCCTGCCGGTCGTTGGAGAGGTGAGTGGTGACTGTGCCCTAGCTTGGGGAGGAACTGCAGCCCGTGGGCTGGGGATTAACTGATTCCCTGAGGGTGGAAGTGCAGGGAAGCCTTACCCGACAGAGGGGCCGTGTGGACTTGGGGCGGGCGAGAGGTGTCAATCCTGGGCCCTAGGAGGGGAATGATGCTGTGGATCTAGTTATTGGGGCACAACCTTCTGCTGTATATTTTTCATCCACTGAGCTCAATTTTAAATACCTATTAAAGGTAAGCCTTAGAAGGTAACATTTGAGCAGAAACCTGAGGGAGGTTAAAAGATCTGTGTGGCCTTTGGGGGTACGAATTTTCTAAGCAGGGGGGAACAGCAAGTGCAAAGGCCCTAAAGCGGGAGCTTGCTTAACATATTCGAGGAATAGCAGGGAGACTAGAGTGGTTGGAGCGCAGTGAACAAGGAGGAAGTGTGCAGAAGATGATATCAGAAAGATTGGGGGGTGGGAGGAGGCCTGCAGAAAAAGTGGGCGTTGTATTGTGTAAGGAATTTGCTCATTTCTTGGCGTGAAGAGTTGTCGGAAAATTTTAAGCAAAGGAAAAACAGCTGACATGTTTTAAAGCATCTACAGCTGGGAACTCATGATGAGAACAGACTGTAGGAAGGCAGGAAAAAAGCCAGTCCCAGTTTGAAGGCTGTCAGGCAGGGAGAATTCTCTCTTACTTGGGGAAAGTCAGCCTTTTTTTTTTTTTTTTTTTTCTATTCTGGCCTTCAACTGATTGGATGAAGCCCGCTCATATTAATGAGAGCAATCTGCTTTACTCAGTCGACTGATTTAAATGTTAATCTCATCCAAAAACGCCTTTACAGAAACACGAGAGTAATGTTTGGCCAAATATCTGGGTACTCGGTGGCCCAGTCAAGTTGTTACATAAAATTAACCATTTTTACTTTCTGTCTAAGAATCATTACTTTCGCAGACTTTTTTTTCATTTTCATTAAGAGTTCCATTGCCCCTTGAACAATGCTGGGGTTAAGGGCTCCTACCCCCAGTGCAGTCGAAAATCTGAGTATAACTTTACAGTCAGTCCTCTGTATTCACAAGGCCGCATCGCAGATTCAGCCAACTGCAGATTTAGCCTATTTATTGGAAAAAAAAAAATCCATGTATCAGTATAAGTGGACCTGCGCAGTTCAAACTTGTGTTGTTCAAGGGTCAACTGCAGCATGATTGGCTTTTTGAATTATAAGTCCATTTTTGATAGAGAAAAATATCAGCTGGGAGTGCTACTCTAATACACATCCAGGAATATATAACAGCTAGCTGATATTTTTCAGCTAGCTGTTATATATTTGGAATTTGGAACCTAACTGGCTGCAGCCACTAACTGAGCCTCATGCATATTGGTTCAGAAGTGTGTGCCAGCAATTAAGCCTTTTTTTTTTTTTTTTTTTCTATTCTGGCCTTCAACTGATTGGATGAAGCCCGCTCATATTAATGAGAGCAATCTGCTTTACTCAGTCGACTGATTTAAATGTTAATCTCATCCAAAAACGCCTTTACAGAAACACGAGAGTAATGTTTGGCCAAATATCTGGGTACTCGGTGGCCCAGTCAAGTTGTTACATAAAATTAACCATTTTTACTTTCTGTCTAAGAATCATTACTTTCGCAGACTTTTTTTTCATTTTCATTAAGAGTTCCATTGCCCCTTGAACAATGCTGGGGTTAAGGGCTCCTACCCCCAGTGCAGTCGAAAATCTGAGTATAACTTTACAGTCAGTCCTCTGTATTCACAAGGCCGCATCGCAGATTCAGCCAACTGCAGATTTAGCCTATTTATTGGAAAAAAAAAAATCCATGTATCAGTATAAGTGGACCTGCGCAGTTCAAACTTGTGTTGTTCAAGGGTCAACTGCAGCATGATTGGCTTTTTGAATTATAAGTCCATTTTTGATAGAGAAAAATATCAGCTGGGAGTGCTACTCTAATACACATCCAGGAATATATAACAGCTAGCTGATATTTTTCAGCTAGCTGTTATATATTTGGAATTTGGAACCTAACTGGCTGCAGCCACTAACTGAGCCTCATGCATATTGGTTCAGAAGTGTGTGCCAGCAATTGGCAGACACTAGTCACTGATTTCTAGAGTCACTCAAGAGTTGTCAAAATCAAGAATGCTCACTCTACACATACCAAGAGCCTGTTTCAAAGGACGATGGTGGAATTCTCTGAGTTCATTTTTGACATGTTGGGTTTGAAAGGCTTTTGTAAGGTATCCAGAAACCAGATAGCTAGAAGGAAATATAGATCTGGCACTCTTGAGGTATCTGGGCTGAAAAATAAGGAAGTCATCAGCATAAAGATAGTAATTGAACTTACAGACATACCTGTCCTCTACATTACCCCCTCCTATCTTATGTCCTATTTCTCTCCTTCCTTTCAATGTCCTATTTTTTGAAAGTAATTTTTTCTTACTCTTGCCATTTTCTCATTCTCCTGTGGCAAAGTGACTGTCCTCCCTATCCCATGACCAGAACTGCCTTCACAGAGGTCACAATGACCTCTTTGTTTTTTAATTAAGTGCATCTGTCAGTTCGTAGGTGAACGCACCTTCCTATAACATTTCACTCTTGAACACTGCCTCTTTATAATTCCAGTTATAAATCAGTCAGTTGCTATTCTTTTTCTGGGGGTGGGGGGATGTTCCAGTGCGGACCAGAAAACCTGCTAAACAAATTCTAAAAGAGCTGTACCACTATTTAGTTACTATTCTTTACAATTATTATCTCATTTACCTCAAAACATCTCTCTGAATTAGATATTACCTTCATTTTACAAATGAGTAAACAAACAGTGTAAGTGACAGAGCTAGACTAGAACCCAGGCCTGTCTGAGGCCCAGGCTCTTTCCATCACTCCACACTTACAGAAACAGATCCCCTTGGCCTTCTAGATACTACTATCCTTGTTTTCCTACCTCTGCAGTTGTTCCTTCTTCTCTTCCTTACATGTAGGTGTTTACGAGAGTTCCAGCCCACTTAGCCTTTTCCCAGCCATAACTAACAACTATCCTGAACATGTGAGGTTTTCCAACAGTTCTGTGCTCAGACTTTTCTCTGTCTGAAAAACCCTTTCCCGATTTTCTTGCCTAACTTTCACTTGTCTTGTAAGAGTCAGAAGGACTCACCTCCAGAAAGCCTTTTCTTTCTTTCTTTTTTTTTTTTTTTTTTGCTATTTAATTGCTTTATTAGCTTTACATTTTTCCATGCAAATGGGTGAAACTCTACTGTTGACAGAAACTTAGATTGGGTGCCCAGGCAACCTCCAGTGAGAAGCTGGTAACACAGAACCCACCTGACACATGGAAATTACATAAGGTTCACAGCAAACGGATCAGTAAAGGCATATCAGGAAAATGTAAGGAAAAGGAGAATGAAAATGGGAATCACAGTATTAATCTCGTGGAAAATGGCAGGAGTCAAGGCATAAGGCAAAATTCATCATGATGGTCATGGTGATTAGAGAGCTCCCCCATAAGGATACGCTGCAGTTCCTCAACTGCAGCTCCCTAAGTTTTCTCCTGATTTCTCTCATCTCCTCCATGAACATTTCCATATCATCTCCAACTCCACCCATCCCATCGTTGACCTGCCTCTTGGGTATGGCCCATCGGAAATTAGGGGCAAGTCGGCGAGCCTGTCCCTGTCTATTATTTCCTGCTGGCTGGTGGCCTTCGCCCCCTCCCAAAGGGCGGTCTTGCTCTGCATTCTGCACAGGCTGCTCCACTTCTCCGTTTTCCTGGACCTATCCTCGCTGCCTCCTGCTCTTTATTCTTGCCACGAGTGCACCTCCTAGACGCTTAGTCCTGCAGACCTGCAAGGGGCCAGGGTCGGGGCAGGGGGCTTCAGAAAGCCTTTTCTGACCTGCTAATTCACTTGAGATTTCTTACGGAGCAGAGAGCCGTAAAGGCCAAGGAGTTCTTTTATCTCTGTGTCTCAGCAACTAAGAGAGTCTGGCACATTGTAGACAATCTGTAAATGAGATGAGTTATGAATATCAATATATTCTTTTAGTTAATTCTGATACTGGCTTTAATTAATGAACCTACAAGCAGTTTTACTCATTTTGTGTCTTTTTTCCCCTCTCAACATTTGGAGAATTTTCAAATCTACCGAAAATTTGAAAGAGTAGTACAATTAATACGATATACCCCTCATATAGCAGCAGCTGTGAACTTCCTGCTACATTTGTGTTCTCTCTCTCTCTCCACACACCGCCCCCCATAATCCCCCCTCCCCCAAACATTTGAAAATAAGTTTTAGTACCATCTCCTGAGAATAAGGATATTCTCTTAAGTGACCACCTGAGAAAACTCTTAAGATCTACACACTTTTTCTGTAAAGGGCCATATAGTAAATGTTTTGAGCTTTGCAGGTGATACAATCTCTATGGCAACTACAGTTGACCCTTGAACAGAAGGGTTTGAACTGCATGGGTCCACTTATGTGCGGATTTTTTCAATAAATATATCAATAGTATCAATACCTGTGTTTTCATTTTACAGATCTTTAAGTGTGGGGAAAAGTTTGTGTTTGATTAGAGATCACAATATGTGGAGTCTAAAGAACTAGAGTTTGAATCCTGATCCTATCCGAGCTGTTCAGCTTGGTCATCTACCAGTTCCTTTGTGTTTGAGGCAGAAATAGTAAGTAGTATACGGATTTTTGACTACACAGGGGTCAGTGCGTTCAAGTACTCAGTCCTGCAGTGTATTGTGAAAGCAGATGTAAACACTATCTAAACAAATGGGTTTGGCTGTATTCCAGTAAAGTTTTATGTACAAAACAGCCTTTGGGCTCTATTTGGTCTGCTGGGCCATAGTTTGCATATATATATTATTCATATTCAGATTTCTGAATTCTTCAAAACATATTTGTATCTTTTTTTTAACTTAAGAGCAAATTTCACACATTGCATTTTGCTGTATCTCTTTAATCTTGAAAAATACCTTCCCCACACCTTTTTATTTTCACGATATTGATTGTTTGGAAGAGTACATGCCTATTGTAGAGAAGCTGCATTCTGGACATTCTGGATTTATCTGAAAGTTTCCTCATTGTTAGATTCATGTTAAACACTTTTAGTAAAAATGCTACCTAAGTGATAAGGCACAAGGTCAGTTGTCTTGCTGTTGGTATTACTAGGTTTCATTTGATTAAGTTTGTGACTGCCAGATAGCTCCATTCTTCCCCTTGTAATTCATAAGCAATCATTGTGGTGATTCTCTGAGACTATGAGCTTGTCCTTTCCCCCTACTCCTTTCACCCAATGATTTCACCCATTTGTGGTCCTTGATTGAAACAGTTATTTCCTCAAGGGCTATAAAATGGTGATTTTTTCAAATCTATTATTCCTGCTATGTTAGCTGGCAGTCTTCTGTAAAACAGAGTCTTCTCATTTTGTATGGTTGTTTCAGAGAGAAAAAAAAATGGATAGTAATTATTGGAAATGTATAAACCCAACAAAGGGGTGTTGCTATTGTTGTTATTATCATTACTACTACTATACTATTACTGTTTCTGTGATTCTTGTTATTACATTTGCAGGGGTATCCCTGAGGAGGCAGTCAAAAGAAAGTTCTTCAGAACAGAGAGAGCAGACTGAAGCTGGGGATGGCGAAAGCACTGGTAACCACTCCTTCCCTGTCTCCTCTGAATCTGAAGAAGGAGGGACTTCACTTAGTGAAGGAGGATCACCGTTCTCCTCGGGAACAGGGGGCCAAGCTGCAAGGAAACAGTGCAGGCCTCGGGCAGGAGCCACTGTGCAAACAGTTCAGGCAGTTGCGCTATGAAGAGACCACAGGACCTCGAGAAGCGCTGAGCCGGCTCCGGGAGCTCTGCCGACAGTGGCTGCGGCCCGACGCCCACACCAAGGAGCAGATCCTGGAGCTGCTGGTGCTGGAGCAGCTCCTGACCATCCTTCCTGAGGAGCTGCAGGCCCGGGTGCGGGAGCATCACCCAGAGAGTGGGGAAGATGTGGTTGTTGTACTGGAGGATTTGCAGCCAGAACTGAGAGGAACAGAACAACAGGTGGTAAGGGTCAGATGTGCTCTTTTGTAGGAAAGCAGGAATTGAGACCTCTGGCCAGAGCGGTGGCCATGAGCTCACCAGTGGGAGAATCTCTAAGCTTTGGTTCAGTTTCTTTTCAGTCTGACTGTTCATTGCTGAAGGTCTTACCTCAGCCTTACCTGTCTCTGGTGGGAGGAAACTGAATGTGCTCCAGCTTCTCCAGCCTCTTTGCCCTTCTGTGGTTTCTCTTCGCTCTCTTTTCTAACATTGTTTTTCTGAACAGCAGTTTCCTCCTAAACCCATGTGTACCTAATCATCCCTAGGACCTAAACCAGGCAAAGAAACAGAAAATGCTTGTGGAGGAGACGGCCCCTCTGAAAGCAGTGCCGAAGCAGCAGGTCCAGCCTGAGGGTGAAATTCCCAAGCCCAAGAGACAGAAGGGTAAGAAGTAGACTGCATCTTCCTGCATGTGAGATGTGGTGGGCTCATGGTTCCCCCCCCACACCCGAGGCCCTGCTCAGCACCCTTGGCATTTTGTGTCTTGTTCTTGTTTTGAGTCAGGTTTACTGAAGTGTAAATTACATGCAGTAAAATTCACTCTTCGTAAGTGTACAGGCCAATGACTTTTCACAAACATGAAATAACTGTACTTGTCTAATGATCACCACAATCAAGATATAAAAGTTTCCATCACCCCAGACATTTCCTTTTTCCCTAATCCTTGTTTCTGTTTTTGGATGTTTCTAGTTTGGGGTTTTTTTTGTTTTTTTTTTTTTGCGGTACGCGGGCCTCTCACTGTTGTGGCCTCTCCCGTTGCCGGAGCACAGGCTCCAGACGCGCAGGCTCAGCGGCCATGGCTCATGGGCCCAGCTGCTCCGCAGCATGTGGGATCTTCCTGGACCGGGGCATGAACCCGTGTCGCCTGCATAGGCAGGCGGACTCTCAACCAGTGCGCCACCAGGGAAGCCCTGGGGGTTTTTTTTGTTCAGTTAAAACTGAATGCTTCTCCTGTGTAGATGTTCACCTTTCTCTTCTCCCCATTACTGTAGGGGTGAATTAAAAAAGGAGTGGTAGTTTCTTACCCAAGGCAAAGAATTCCAGCCACATGATTCATTACTCATTTTTCTTACCACATTCAAATTATTGTAAACGACTACTGTCTTTTACTTCTAAATGTTGCCTGAATTATTTTTTTTTGCTGTACCATATTTCCTTTGACTCTGAATTTCTTTAATTTCTATCCCTTTCATTTTCTCCTCTTTCCAGTCTGATACAAGCCCTGCTTCTCTTTTTGTTTTACTGTCTGTCATTTTAGTGCTTCCACTGAAGTTAAATTACCTCCTGTTCATTCTCTGTCATTTAAACACATTCATTAATGTTGCTCTCCTCGTTAAAGCCCTTCAGTGAGCTAAGTAATGTTATTCTTTCAATTTTTTCTGATGTTTTAAAAATTCCATAATAAAAATAAAAACCAACACACCACCTTCAGTGACTCCCAATAGCCTTTAACAAAGGCCTCACACGGCATGTTCTGGCATTTGCAGACCTTGCAGCCCCATGTCCACTAACATCACCAGCTTGCTCCGATTTGCTTGAGACTTTTAGCTCCAGCTGTTGCATGTGCTGGGAAACCCCTCAGTCCCAGACACATTGGGCCAATTAATCGCCCTTTGTCCCACCTGCTCACACTGTGTTCCCCTCATGCTGAGTTGCATTCCATTTCCCATTTGCTCCTCTTCTGTCTGGAATACTTTTTCCTCACTCTCCCTGGCTAATTCCTCCTCATCCTTCAGGACCTAGCTTAGATATCACTTTCTTTGTCCTTCCCTAATTTCTCCAAGTCTGGATCAGTTTCCCCAGCTCTGCTGCTAGAGCTCCAAGTTTTCTCCTACCATGGAACTGATCGTATTATATTAGAGTTGCTGGTTTACTTCTCTTTTTCTCCCACCAGACCAAAAGGGCAGGGGCTTTGTTTTGTTTCCTGAGTCTGCTACTGTCCCTGGACTAGAGTAGACCTTCAGTAAATGTCTATTTGATGAATGGCTGATTTCAATTCTAAAGGCTCCTTTTACCTACTACCTACTCCCCCTGCTCAATTTCTGAGTCTGCTTCAAAAGTCCTCTTCTTCTGGAAGCTTTCTGAGTAAAGTCACTGAAAGAGAGAGGCCTACCTTTTCTAAACAGCCTTGTAGAAATGAATTTATGCCGTGTAATCAGCGATGGGTGTTTAAGTATGAAAAGTAGATTTAGGAATAGTAGATTCTTGAAACTGTTCCTTAACCTCTAGATCTGTTGAAAATGTTATTTTATATTCTTCTTTTATTTATTTATTTACTTTTGGCTGCGTTGGGTCTTCGTTGCTGCATGCGGGCTTTCTCTAGTTGTGGCGAGTGGGGGCTACTCTTCGTTACGGTGCATGGCTTCTCATCGCGGTGGCTTCTCTTGTTGCGGAGCACGGGCTCTAGGTGCGCGGGCTTCAGTAGTTGTGGCGTGCAGGCTCAGTAGTTGTGGCTCATGGGCTCTAGAGCACAGGCTCAGTAGTTGTGGTGCACGGGCTTAGTTGCTCCGTGGCATGTGGGACCTTCCCAGACCAGGGCTTGAACCCGTGTCCCCTGCATTGGCAGGTGGATCCTTAACCACTGCACCAGTAGGGAAGCCCCATTATTTTATATTCAAGTTCAGGTTGTTTTTCAGTTTTGGAGGCCCCTGCCTCCCCTTTTAGTTGTGTATGTCATTATAAAATCACTGGAAAAGAACCTCTCTTGTTCTCATCCCTTAACTCTCACTCCCTCCCCCATGGAGCCTACTTCATCCTCTTGCAAAAGGCCTTTACACACAGTACATGTTTTTAATCTTCCGTCTCCCACATGTGCTTTTACTTTCCCTGATATCTCCTTCCCACACCCTTCACTTTCTCATCTACTCTCACTCTTTAAATGATCTGCCTTTATCTTGCTTACACGGGGTAACCCTCATTTGCTTGTTATGAGTGCTGCTTAGATGCTCCCTCTTCTATTTTCTCCATCCATCTCCCCTTTTACTCTCTCGTTCTGACTTTGCATCCCCTTTCAGGCTCCTGGACTTAAAAGACTTATCCTATCTACTGTTCCCTCTCACCCTCTTCCCTGTGTGTCTGAGCTAAGGTTTTATTCAGCACACATTGTTATAATTTGCTTATATGTCTTATGTTCCAGACATATAAGCAAATTATTACAGCACTGAGATATAATAGCTCCATTGAACCACACAGGAAAGCAGTTACTGCCGTCCAAGGAGATCAGGAAAGGCTAAGACATTTTTGTGGACTTCATGTTACCCTCAGGGCATTCTGGCCCAGTGTTTTTGATTTATTGGTGAGGAGACTGAGCCCAGAGGAATTACCTAAGATTACGCAGTTAATCATGATAAAACTGGCACCACGTCTGCATGTCTTCATTTCCAGTTTATTTCTTCATTTCTGGTGCTAGCCCTTTCTTATTGGCCCCAGGGTACTCAGTTGACCTAGCTTTCTAATTTTCCACATGAGGCCATTATCAGGAACATACAGCCATGCCCTTTATCACAGTTCGCTTGCTTGCTAACTTCTGTGTGTGTGTATGTATGTATAGATGTGTGTATCACATGATAAACCTCAAACCATTTAAAATAAGTTGCCTCTCACCATAATCCCCCAAAGGCAGCCACTGTTAAACAGTTTCTTATGTATCATTCCATGTATGTTCTATGCAAACACCAGCACCCACAACATTTCCACTTTGCACACATGGCTTGATTCAACTTTTTTTCCTCCTAATTGTAGATTCCTTTCCCTAAGCACCAAAAAACAAGTAACTGTGGTATATATTTAATGTTTCAGGTGAGGAGACAAGGATTGAGAATGGGAAGCCAGTTGTAGAGACAGACTCCTGTGGAGGAGTGGAATCATCTGGGAAAATATCTGAACCCAAAGAGGCTTATTATGAGGACTCTAACTTGGATAGGCAGCAGGCCAAGGCCAAGGAGAAGACTGACTATAAATGCTCAGAATGTGGGGAGGGGTTCATCCAGCACTCAGACCTGATTAAGCATGAAGGTTCACACAGGGGAGAAAAGCTCTGTGAATCTGAAGTGTGTCAGAGTTCTAGTCTTACTGGACATCAGAAAATCCACTCTAGAGAGAAGGGTCATCAGTGTCATGAGTGTGGGAAAACCTTTCAGAGAAGTTCACACCTTGTCAGACATCAGAAAATCCATCTTGGCGAGAAGCCTTATCAGTGCAAGGAGTGTGGAAAAGTCTTTAGCCAGAATGCAGGCCTTTTGGAACATCTCAGAATCCATACTGGAGAGAAACCTTACCTGTGTATCCACTGTGGAAAGAACTTTCGGCGCAGCTCTCACCTTAATCGACACCAGAGAATTCATAGTCAGGAGGAGCCCTGTGAGTGCAAGGAGTGTGGGAAAACCTTTAGTCAGGCCCTGCTCCTCACCCACCATCAGAGAATCCACAGCCACTCCAAAAGCCATCAGTGTAACGAGTGCGGGAAAGCCTTCAGTTTGACCTCAGACCTTATTCGACACCACAGGATTCACACAGGAGAAAAACCTTTCAAGTGTACTATATGCCAGAAAGCCTTCCGACTAAACTCACACCTTACTCAGCACGTGAGAATCCACAACGAGGAAAAACCGTACAAGTGTAATGAATGTGGAGAAGCCTTCAGGCAGAGGTCAGGTCTTTTTCAACATCAGAGATATCACCACAAAGACAAACTGGCTTGATGAGGTGTCCTCTCTTTATGGACCATCAGAGACAGTACATTAACAAGCAAGCCGGCACTTTAGGAAAGGCACTCTAGCCAACTCTGGCAGAGAACTCTTGGGGACCAAGTTGGAGGCTATCTGCCTCCTCTCTCTCTCCTTTGTTTTCCTTGTAGTCAGCTTTGGGCCACAGTAATTTGACCCTAGACCCTGGGGGATCAAAGGTAAATAGCATTCTTTACTGCAGGACTTCTCAGAGCCTTTAGCATGCTAAATGCATAGCTATGCATCTCCAAGTAGTAGAGAGCCTCATGATTGAGTGAGGGCTTTAAGTCAGCAATGAATCAAGTGTCCACAGATTTACAGGCTTAAACAGAAAAAGAGCAGGTTGATATTTTTGCATATGCTACAGCAACAGACTCCTATACAGTAAAATCAATGATATTTGGAAGTATATCATACTCAAAGGTATCTTAAAGGACAGGTTAATGGTGAACATTTTCGCCCACTGGTTTTACTACCCTGCCTGCCCCTAGCATTATCCTCTCCTTCCCTACCCCCAATCAGCATTTTGGAAAGCAAAGATGATCTAATTTTACCATTTCGCAGCCCCATCCCTGCCATAATACCTCATTGATTCAAGTTAGAGAGTAAGGTTTTATTTAGACTATGGAAGAGATTTCATAAGCCATTTGAATGAACCGGGCTGAATTAATCCAAGTAGCAACTGTCTTCATAACTCCAGTGTCAGTATAGTGGCTGCTGCATAGAAACTTCAAACAATGGGGAAAGAAATTGGACTTTTTTCCTTTAATACTGAGGACAGAATTTTAAAATGCTGCTTGTTCTGGAATTTTGAAAGTCAAATCAGAAAAACAGCTTGGAAGAGATCATGATCTTCATGTTGTGAATGCCAAAATGTCATGGTAATGATGAAGCTTAGGGAATTCCACTTCTGAATATATCACCAGGATGATAAACATCACTTGCTGATTGGTGGTAGCTGCTTGGGGTACTTCTCACTCTGTCACGTGAGTGGGAAGACTGGTGAGTCCTCATGTTTTGCTGAGGTTTTTGTTCAGCTGAATATAGTTTAAAAACAACAAAAAGAAGGAATGATGTAATAAAAGTTCATTTTTCTCTTAAATAGAAAAGGCCAGAGACAGCAGTCCAGCACTGGTAAGGTGGTTTCATGACGTCACTAGGGAACCCAGCTTCTGCCTTTCATGCCATCATTCCTTAAGGTCATCATCCTTGATGGCTGCTGAAGCTCCAGCCATCACATGCAAAATGTGGACAAAAGGCAGAAGGACAAAAGAGACTCCTCCTTGTCAGTCAGCTCCCTTTAAGCAGCCTTCCTGTAAATCACTTCAGCGGTTGTATCATAGGCCAAATCTTAGAAAAGGGAAGCTGGAAAGTGTGTCTTATTCTGGGTTGCAGAATGCCCAGCTGAAAATCAGGCTTCTGTCACTATGAGTAAAGGGGAGAGTGAAGGCTGAAATAGGCACTTGGGGGCCTTTTATATAGATATAGATATATTTTTTTATTTTTATTTTTGGCTGCGTCGGGTCTTCCATTGCTGCGCGCAGGCTTTCTCTAGTTGAGGAGAGGGGGCTACTCTTTGTTGTGGTGGTGGGCTTCTCATTGTGGTGGCTTCTCTTGCTGCGGAACACGGGCTCTAGGCGTGCGCTTAGTTGCTCCACGGCATGTGGGATCTTCCTGGACCAGGGATCAAACCTGGGTCCCCTGCATTGACAGGCAGATTCTTAACCACTGTGCCACCAGGGAGGTGCCTGGCACCTAGGAGTCTTTGGCCCACTTCCAACTCGGATCTGAGTGGGTGCAAGCTGAGCAGAGCAACAGTTAATACCATTATCTGGAGGAGGATCAAATCAGCAGGAGAAGCAGCTGTAATTTTTTGAGAAATTAAAGAATTTCATGGAAAGTCAGTCATGTTCCATTGCTTAGGAAACCATAAAGGTATGTGTCTTTATTCTACCTTTATGAGTAAAATTAAGTTGATAACGGATTTTTCCAAGAGTTTTGAGGGGTGTGCTGAGGTTAGTACCTAAACATTTAGCTCCACGTCGTAGTTTAAATCTATTTGATTCTTTTCAGTTTAAGGAAAGAACGTGGAATATCTTTATTATTCTCATTAAGAAGCAAAGATAATTAAAAGATTCAAAGTATGAAGAATTGATATATACCTTAAATATATGGAAAATTTATTTTGGCTTTCTCTTTTCATGATGATTCCATAGTATAGGTATTATAAGCATTCTAAGTTCATTGACACCTTAACCTAATTCTTCCTTACAGTTCCAAAGGAAATGGTGTTCTCATCTGTACCCTGGGGCAGATCCATAACCACCTGGGCAAAATTTTGGATACAGATATATTTAAATAACGTGTTTTCCTTATTTATTCCTGAAAATTATAGAAACATTGAACAAAGGGCAAATGTTATAACAGATCTTGACTGGGGTTTTGCTTGCAATGTAAGACATCCTAGACACCCTAAAAGGCAGTTAAAAATCTTTTCAGAGAGCAGAAGTCCAGGAAGACTAACTGTATTGCAGCAGTATCTTCTACTGGTCAGCCATTTCTGTTTGGGTCTACTTTTTTTCCTTTAATTAATTAATTAATTAATTATTGGCTGCGTTGGTCTTCGTTGCTGCGCGTGGGCTTTCTCTAGTTGTGGCGAGCGAGGGCTACTCTTCGTTGCCCTTGTGGTGTGCGGGCTTCTCATTGCGGTGGCTTCTCTGGTTGCAGAGCACGGGCTCTAGGCACATGGGCTTCAGTAGTTGTGGCATGTGGTCTCCGTAGTTGTGGCTCACAGGCTCTAGAGCGCAGGCTCAGCAGTTGTGGAGCACGGGCTTAGTTGCTCCGCGGCATGTGGGATCTTCTGGGTCCCCTGCATTGGCAGGCAGATTCTTAACAACTGCGCCACCAGGGAAGTCCCTGAGTCTGCTTTTTAAAGAGTTTTTAAAGAATAGTTTTACTGTCAAAATTGAAAGTCTTTTCACATGTTAATTGGTTGGTAAGTAACATGTTAATTCTGATTTTGAACCACCATGTTCACCTTGGCTGAATTATTCTATTAGATTCTCCTTTTACTCTTAAACAGCAGTGCCCTTAAAAATTAAGTAAGGGAGCTGTATATCAAAATTTAAATGCACATGCCCTTTGACAAATAAATTTCAGTGTATAGTATTTACCCTAGAAATATACTCATAAAACCATGTAAAGATATTCAATGGTGTTCTCTACTTAACAAAGAAAAAATATAGTAGGAATAGTTAAGTAAATGAACCCATACAATGGAATACTAGTTAGCTGTTAAAAGATAAACTGGTATGGAAAGATCTCCAAGCTTTCTTAACTGAAAAAGGTGCAAAATTATATTGTGATGCCAGAGGTGGTTTAAAATACATACTTATTAAACAGATGTTTAATGAGTGCTACTATGTGGCTGTTAGCGTCCTGGGAAGATATACACAAAATATTAACAATGGTTAACTGGGGAGTGGGATACTTTTCATTTTATATTTTCTATGCACCTTGTGTTTTAATTGTACATATATGATCTGTATATTTAAGTTTTTAAAATTTGTGCTGCTGGCTGTATTGTAATCTTTATTCATCTGTTCCCCCAGCAGCCTGTGAGGACTCTAAAGACAGAAACTCAGTTTTGTCTTCATCATCGAGTTGGTTTTTAATTGAAATGATTGCAAAAATGTGGGGCAGGCTGGGAACATCCCCATGGCCTGGTGGGGACTCAGCAACTGAGCAGGGTGGGCGGGGGCTGCGGGGGTCCGCCAGGCGCACCAGTGAGACGTGCGGCCGCATTCCTAGAGAGGCATGGAGCCGGTTGGGCTGAGGTTCGGCTGCTCGCGCGGCAGGAGGGGAAATCTGCCCCCGGGTCCCGACGGCCGGAAGCGGCAGACGCCCGGGCCCTGCGGGGACAGGCAACTGGCTCCTCCCTGCTGTGGAGAGCCGGGCCTCCGCCCTCCGGTGGGGCTTTTCACTGGGTCGGCCATGTCTTCGTTGTGCATGTTCCTTGAACTTTTGGTCCGTTAACCAGCAATTAGACACTCACCGAGTGCCCGCTATATGCCAAGCGCTAGGAGCTGGGGGGCAATCGCAGTAAGGTGCGTTCTGGGCCCGTCGCAGGTCCCGGCTACCGACATCCCAGTACCTCTACGTGCCTCCGGCAAGACGTCCGCCAGTATTTGTTGAATACCAGGTAAGCCTGGGCTCGCTGAGGTCATGCAAAGATAAACCCCTGTCCTCAAGGGGCAGGGGTGGTGGTGGTGGTGCGGGGTGTGATCTGTAATGCAGGTTGGAGAGGGAAATGGGTTGGTGAGGCAGGTTTGGGCTCACTTTTCCATGGGAACACCCTCCACCTGAGTGGCTCAGAGGACAGAAGACTGTCTGTACATTAGGTTTGGGGGTGGCATTTGCACGGAGCCTTGGGAATATACCATTAGAAGACTGGTAGTGGCCATAAAGTACAAGGTTGGTGGAACAAATCTGAGTATCAGCTGGCAGTGTTACGAGGCATTTGGGAAGACGATGGCTTTCTTGGAGGTAGGGTCTATGTCTTTTATTATGGGGTTAGCGTTATGCTTGGAAAATGACGTGCTCGATAAATGTTTATCGAGTGATAAACACAAGTCAAACTCAGTTAAGATCAGATCCTGGGGAGTTTGAATTTAGTTCAACCCGCTTTTTGGTGGGACAGATGTGTCGAATATGTTTCGAATTGTGCTTTAGGAAATATCGATCCAGTGATGATGGAGTGTGTGGTGCGGCAGGAATACCACACAGAAAATTATTGTAATAGTGAATGTAAATCGTAAAGCAGGAGTAAAAAGGAAGGAGTGGCTGCAAGAGGCGTTGTGGAGGAAGAATTGACTGGACTCAGGGTGATTATATATAATATACATAAGCTGGTTTTGAGCCTGAATGCATGGAAGGTGGTGGTGATGCCAGTAGAAACTGAAAAATACAGAGTGAGTGCAGCTTTGAGGGGACTCTGATTTCAGTTTGGGATGTGTTGAAATAACAGTGCAGGAGAGGCCCAAGGTGTGAGTTTGGAATACGAAAGGCAAGTCAGAGCCAGACAGAAATTTAAGTGTTCTTAGAATAGAGACATTGAATTTTGATTAACTGAGATCACAAAAGGAACAGGTGAGAAGAGAAACAGAAGTTGAAGTATTTCTACTGTTTGTTATCTATTGTTACATAAAAAAATGAAGCCCCAAACTTATTGGCTTAAAACAACCTCAGCTTATTCTTATGATTCTATGGGTTGACTGGGCAGTATTACTGGAGTTACTCATGTGGCTGCTGGTCAGTCAGCTGGGGACTAGGCCCAGCTGGGCCTCCGTGGTTCTCTTCCACGTGACCTCTGCATGGCTAGCTTGGCTTTCTCACAGCATGGAAGTCTCATGGCTGTGTGTCTGGCACTACAAGAGCACTTCCTCTTACATTGTCATTTCTGCCATATTCTATTGGTTAAAACAAGTCACAGGTCAGCACAGACTCAAGGGAAGGAAAAGTAGACTCCACCTCATGATGAGAAAAGTGACAATCTCATCATAACAGGTTTTAGGGGATGGAGGCTTTGGAAACAGTCTACCTCACCTACATTTAAGGTGGAGTATTCTGTGAGAAATATGCAGAGAAAGATGAACTTTAAGAGTATATTAATCTGTCCATAAAGGCAGCCATCTGGCTCCTCCATGGATCAAATTATCCCTTCCCTCCATCTAAAGTATAAGCTGCTCAAGCATTCTTATTGTTAACCCTTCTTCCCTGGTATCCTTTACCTTACATCCCTTGACTCTAGGCTCAACTCCCTTAGGATTCAAGGTAGACTTCTGATTAATTTCACTGATAATATTAACAAACAGGCTCAGTTTTTGAGCATCACTTAGAGTGGGGACAAAAATATAAGTATGTTACATAGAGTTTTGAAGCTCTTATAATTTTTATGTTACTGATCAATTCTTATGCTTCAGATGTACATTTGGAAAAACATTTCTGGAGCATAGACCTCAGCTAAGTGAACCTTTTTCTAGCCTTTAAGGTCAACATGGATGAAGCTTCACCAGGCCCTGCTCCTGAGAATGGAGACAGCCTTGTGAAAGTGAAGGAGGAAGATCCCACATGGAAGCAGATGTGCAGCTCACAGGACAGCAGCTCCCACACTCTGGAGCTTTGCCGCCTGCGCTTCCGGCAGTTCTGCTACCAGGAGGTAACCGGGCCCCGGGAGGCTCTGGCCCAGCTCCAAGAACTTTGCCATCAATGGCTGCGGCCGGAGACCCACACCAAGGAGCAGATCCTGGAGCTGCTGGTGCTGGAGCAGTTCCTGACCATCCTGCCCCAGGAGCTCCAGGCCTGGGTGCAGGTGTATCCTCTGGAGAGCGGGGAAGATGCAGTGACAGTTCTGGAGAATCTAGAGAAAGACACAGGAGACTCAGGACAGCAGGTGGGAAGAGAATGTGCGTGGTGGCCTGGGAGATATAATGGCGAACATTTGTTAAGTTTTAACTTTTTACTTTGAAGTAATTTACAACTTATAGAAGTTTGGGGAGAGTAGTACAGAGAACTACTGTGTCCTTTTCACCCATATTCACCAGTTGTTAACATTTGTTACAGGATGTGCCCCTCTCGTGTGCGAGCACGCGCTCCCTCTCTCTCTGTATATGTACATATATGTGTATACACACACATACACACAGGCTCACATTTTTTTTCTTGAATCATTTGAGATTGGAGTTAGTTGGAGATACCATACCCCTTTATCTCTAAACACTTCGGTGTGTATTTCTGAGGAAGAAAGATATTCTCTTGTATAACCAGAATACATACTATCAAGTTTGGGGAAATTAAAATTTTTATGATACTATCACCTCAACAGTAGTCCTTGTTTAGATACATCCATGATAGCCCAGTAGGATTCTTTATGACAATTTTGCCCCAATCCAGGATACAGTCCAGCATCACACATTACATTTAGTTGCCGTCTCTTCAGTCTTCTTAGATCTGGAAAGGTCGTTCAGTCTTCCTTTGTCATAACAATGACTTTTTTTTTTTTTTTTTTTTTGCTGCACGCGGGCCTTTCTCTGCTGTGGCCTCTCCGGTTGCGGAGCACAAGCTCTGGACACGCAGGCTCAGCGACCATGGCATTGCGGAGCACAGGCTCCGGACGCGCAGGCTCAGCGACCATGGCTCACGGGCCCAGCCGCTTCGCGGCATGTGGGATCTTCCCGGACCGGGGCATGAACCCATGTCCCCTGCATCGGCAGGCGGACTCTCAACCACTGCGCCACCAGGGAAGCCCAAAAATGACATCTTTGAAGAGTACAGACCAGTTATTTTTTGGAATGCTCCTCAATTTGGGTTTGCCTTGTATTTTCTCATGATAAGACTCAGGTTGTGCATTTTGGCTAGAATACCACAGAAGTGACATTGTGGTCTCCTCAGTGCATCACATCAGGAGGTACATGGTGATGGATTGTCCCATTACTGATGAGGTTAAGATGGTATCTGTCAGATTTCTCTACTATAAATTTACCATTTTCCCCTTTGTAATTAATAAGAAATTTGTGGGAGACATTTTGAGACAGTGTACATATCCTGTTTCTCATTGAACTTCCACCCACTAGTTAAGCAACCATCTGGGTTTTTGTTTTGTTTTTCTAGGCAGGAATCTTTGCCTGTCTTGTGTCTCTTCTTTGCCACTATATCCCCAGCACATAGAACAGAGCCTGGCTTTTAGTAGGCATTCAGTCCATATTCGCCAAATGAGTGAAGCAAGTCTCTGTCTTATTGCTGCTGCTTAAGGATTAAATGGGGCTTCTCTGGTGTTCCCTTGAGGATATCCTTAACTGCTGTTCGGTCCAGTTCCCACCAGGATGCCTTTTCTTTTCTTTTTTAATATCTTTATTGGAGTATAATTGCTTTTCAATGTTGTGTTAGTTGCTGCTGTATAACAAAGTGAATCAGCTATATGTATACATATACCCCCATATCTCCTCCCTCTTGCATCTCCCTCCCACCCCAGGATGCCTTTTCAAAGTGAACCTTTTGTCCCCAGGCTTCTGTCTACACTAGGGGACAGGATATTCACCTACCGGTGACAGAATATCAAGGAACCTCTTTGGAGTGTCAGAGGCCCCAGCTACTGCCTGGGGTAACCACCTTGAAGTGTGAACCCCCAGAGCCCCACCAAGAGGTCGCCCAAGAAGTGAATGGTGAGTGCCGGAGGGTGAGTTTAGTAAGGACACTGGGAGCAGGCCGCTGGCAGGTGCATGACCTTCTAAGTAAAGCTTGTTTATCTGTGGGGTGTTTTTTTTTGTTGTTGTTGTTAGCCCTATACCTAAGCAAACTTTTAAAAACATTTGGAATTGTAAAATGTTAGAAGTCTAAGATATTCTCATCCAACACCCTTAAGAGTTAGGAAAACCAAAACTCAGAGTTTAAGTGACTTGACCAGGGTCAACAGAGGCAGAGTTAAGTCACGTGACCTTCTGACCAAGATTCCCTCTTTACTATATATCTCTATTCCACATTTCTAATTCTACACTTGTGAATATTTTAAATATTTACTTGGTAGCTTTCCATAAATTTGTCTTTTTCCCATGGTAACGTTTTCTTCAGTAGCCTCCCTGCCTCTAATCTTTCAGTAATTTACATACAGCTTTAGGTTTAAACAGGTTCTCTCCTTCCTGCACTTGGAGTGTACCCTTCTTTGTGCACGGCTCTCTCACTTTCCGTATCCATCCCAGCTACTGGTTATATTTCAGCTGTGTGCATTAAGATAGGCCATGCAAAGAAGGCAAAGTCTGCGGCCTGCAGTTTGCAGCTGGCTTGAGAACACACAGAAGTATACATATCATTCAAAAAGGAGACCTCAGAACTCCGTAGTGCAAAGTTTTTTAACCTTTGTGGTGAGGGATGCTATCACTTTCCCCCAGAATTTATTGGAAAGGATTAACTCTCTTCCCTAGAAAAGGCGTACAAAATGACGCACACAACTTCATGACTTACCACATTGGTTTACAGTCACCACATTGGTGATCTGTGAATACTGATATTTTGATATTAAGTGCAGAATAAATGGTTCATATAATAAATGATTTGAGAACATTCAAGGGAGATAAAAGAAAATGTATGAGGCTCAGATTACTTGTGATACTTACCCATTGGAGCATAAATATAACTTGATATTTCCCTACTTACTTGATTGATAGTTCTGTCTTATTTCTTTGGTTATTAAAAACCACCATGACATGAAGCCCAAATGTTTTACGTGAAGAAGTTTAGAGGTGGTAGGGAGCCTTACAGCCCTGGGGTTGGGAAAGCTTTCCTGGAGTCATGAGCTTGCATTGAGCCTTGATAGATGAGAATTTGCAGTGGAGCAGGCATAGGGTGAGTATTCCCATCAACCTGTGAGATGATGAACATGCATCTGCTGAAATCAGTTTCATCTCATTTTGACTGTGGAGGGGGAGGGGGTAATGAAGAATGGAGGTACTTGTCAGAATGGTGATGATAATTGACAGAAAGATAACAGCAGTCATAGGATATAAGATTCTTTCATGTGAGCATGAGCTGGCTCTCAGAACTGGACTCCAGCAGCATCTACTGGGCGGAGGGGGGGCTTCTTCGGTTCTCTAGGTCCCCGTGTGATGTGCCACTGCTGTGGTGTGTGTAATCAGGATGCTCTGTTGTCCTTTAGGAAGCACACCCTGTCATTCTCAAGGGCTTTTTATACCCTCTTAGGCCCTCCCAAATATTCTGGAGACTGGCTAAAGGCCTCCCTGCTTACTAGTCATAACCCAAGCACATTTCTCCAGGATACCTGCGACCAAATGAACTGAAGATCAGTTTCCCAGGCTACCTGCATTCCCTCCTCTCCTGCTAGTATTTTCAATGGGGTACTAAGTCAACCAGCATGACAGGATGGTGGGGTTTGTTTAGGTGAAAGAGTGGGTCGGGGGAATGGGAAGGTCAGTTGGGGCCATTTTATGGGGTGTTTAAATTCAAACCAGGAGGTTTGGACTTTATCATTAAAAAGTTGGGTGCCACTGAAGCCCTTTTTTAAAATCAAAAATATGATTTATAGTGACTGTGTTATTTGTGTGTATATAGTATTTCATTCTCACCTGTTATGGAGCACTAGATTTAAAATGAAAACTATTGAGTACTTTATTTTTGCCAGTCTCTTAATGCTCAAATGTGATTGATTCTTAGGGTCAGACACATTGTTAAATTTTCTGTATGTTGATGGAGAAGTAGAAAAGACCTTGAGATCATTTTATTCATTGCAACTTAAGCCCATTTTCTCTTGTTCTGCCTTTGGCAGAGATATAGAGCAACAGATCAGTGTGGTATTTGTAGTGAACTTTAATATGTTTGAAAACATTCCTCTGCCTTCTTCCCAGGCTTAACCCTAATGCTTTTCCACCTCAGGAGGATTATAAGAGGCATACACAGAGTCTGATCTGACCTTTGCTCTCTCAAATTTCCCATTGCTGTTGCTCTCTCTCCTCACTGCATTATACCTTTGCCCCCTTCCATTCTCTCTTGCCATCCTGCCCCTCCTCAGCTTAGCCCTTTCTCTGACAGCAGACCTGCTTTACACTGCGCTGTTTAAGCTCTTGGTTGTTTGGCATATATGCATTGTGGGGAGGTAAGGTAGTAACAGTGAATCAGGGGCAAGGCTATTTTATTTTCCTAGCAAGCCTTATTTGCTCTAGATATGAAACAACAGCAACAAAAAGATTCCACAGTGATCCACTGTGTCTGGAGCAAGGAAAAGTGGTACTATGTTCTGTGTTATATTTTGGGTTAGAATTATCCCCTGTGCTCTTCATTTAGTAATTTTGGGCTCCTTATATTGTTGCCATCTTGAAAAATAATGATACATTACCTTGTGTGGGGTCTTACAACTTACAGAGGGCTTTTACAGAGAGTTTTTATGTTACCTCAGTCTTCATTAACCTTGTAAAGTAGACTGTGTTCTCCCCATTGTACAGATAAGGAATTGGAAAGAATCTTTTTAAGTAGCAGTGCAGTGCCTGGCACCTTGCAATCATTATGACTGAATTATTGTTACAGTTTCCAGTGTGGCAGATTCTCAAAAGTTCTCCTAGCTCAGGGTTAGCATCTCTTCTTTGTATGTATGTATGACTATTTTTGTGTGTGTGTGACTTTTTTTTTTTTTTTTTACTGATGTACAGTTGATTTACAATGTGTTAGTTTCAGGTGTACATGTATGACTTTATTTTTTTAGAGCAGTTGTATGTTAAGCAAAATTGGAAGAAAGGTACAGAGATTTCTTATCTACCCCCTGCCTCCCCCATTATCAACTCTATTTTTTGTATCTTTATTTTCTCTTTTCACCTTCCTCTTATCTGCTTTCCTGTTTCCCCTTTGGCTTCTCTCTCTGTTCTCCACTTCTTTTCTTCTTTGTTCTCTGGTTAGTGTTTCCTTTATCACCAAGTTCTGCCTTCCCTCTCCTTATTTTCATCAATGATTTCTAATTTTTCTTTATGAATGTGAAAGTGCATCACTGTAGAGCACCTCATGAGTTCATAAACACCACTTATTTTGTGGGTAGGGACCCTAAAGTTTTAGAATTTTAGAATTCTGAAAGAATGAAAGCAGATATGATGTTCTAGCGTAAGATCTGTATCTTAGTTCCTGGATGTTTAACAAACATAAGAAGAGTTGGGGTCTGGGTTGCCCACAAAGGGCTCTCTGCTAAAAGCCATTGTGTCTCATTCAGGACTCTTGTCTCCTCCTTCCACAGGGCCTGCTCCCCAGGGACCAGCCCCTCCCCAGGAAGAGAATCCCAGAGACCAGGCAGCAGTACCGGCGTTTAACTCAGCCAGGTCCCAGGTGAGCATGGTGCCCGGGCTATGCGAACCTCAGTTACAGCCCTGCTTCCCTCGACCACCTGTCCCTGCCCTTCTCTTGGCTCACACTGCTCACCCTGGAGCCTTCCAGGTGGCACCATCCCTCTGCCTTCACCTTGTCACACAATATCACAGACCATTTATGCCTCATCCGGGGAGCTCACATAGATCACATAGATTATGCAGTGGCCTCATTCCATACCGTATGCAGGAGGCACATCCAGATCTCAAGGTATGAGAATAAGGGGCAGAGTTAGGCCCTTGGTTTCAGAAAGTGCCTCTACTCATTTGATGCTCAGTGACTGATGTTTTATCTTTTGAGGGAGTCTCTGGTTTCTCTCCCCAGTCTGAGAAGCAGTACTATTTCTCATGTTACTTTATAGTCCCAGTGTTCTGCACATACCCAATTAATATTTGGTGATGATAATGGAAATTCTGTGTATCCAAGGCAAAACTTCACATCTTCACAAAATAGACTCGTTTTTTTTTCCCCCTTATTCTCTTAGTGGTCCAATCATTTTCCTAGTCATTTAGTTAAAAAATATTTAAGTCTCCTATTTAAGTGCTCTGCTGCTGAGTCAGTTTCCTCAAGAACAGGGTCTTCATGGAGTCCTTCCCTCACTCTGTGACTTTTTTTTGCCGTATGTGGGCCTCTCACTGTTGTGGCCTCTCCTGCTGCGGAGCACAGGCTCTGGACGCGCAGGCTCAGTGGCCATAGCTCACGGGCCTAGCCGCTCTGCGGCATGTGGGATCTTCCCAGACCGGGGCATGAACCCGCATCGGCAGGTGGACTCCCAACCACTGCGCCATCAGGGAAGCCCCGCTCTGTGACTTTTAATTCGTTCTTAATCCTATCAGACCCAGTGCCTCCTGTTCTTAACAAATACTTCACCTTCGTATAGCAAGTAAAACTTACCTATATGTATATTTAAATCAATATAATTATCTAAAATGTTATATAATGGAGAAACAAAAAGCAATTTATTAAAAAAAAAGTATTTCAAAAATGCAAATGTTTGGACATTATCACACCAAGAAATAACAAAGTAGTTAAACGTTTGCACTGATGTGTAATCATTAGGTTTGAATTAAGGAGGAATAAGAAGATCAAAAGGCTAGGAAAATGAAAGGGCAGAGATGTGGGTGGACAGTAGAATGAAACTAGCATTGAGTCAAATAATGAAAGACCAGCCAGAGAAAGAGAAAAATAACATCAATTGAAGTAGACCTAAGATGAAGTTATGGCTTGTATTGTGTCCCGAAAAGATATATTGAAGTCCTAACCCCAGGTACCTATGACTGTGATCTGATTTGGAAGTAGATTCTTTGTAGGTGTAATCAAGTTAAGATGAGGTCCTGCTGGAGGTGGGTGGGCCCAGCATCCAACGGTCGATGTCCTTATAAGAAGGCCATGTGAAGACAGGGAGACACACAGGTTGAAGGCCATGTGACGGCAGAGGCAGAGACTGGAGTGATGCATCTACCAGCCAAGGAACACTCAGGACTGCTGACAACCCCCAGAAGCTGAGAGAGAGGCAGGACAGTCATCCCTTAGACCTTCGGAGAGAGCAGGGCCCTGCTGGTTGGCTTGGTTCGACTGGTCTGCAGTGTGGTATTCAATACCCTTCACACTTGGACCCCTTATCCTTACCACAGTGAAGACTGAGAGGCCATTTTTTGCCTTTTTAGACATCAGTGAAGACTGAGGAAGCAGCAGCCCAGGCCCTTGTCCCAGAGCAGTGGCCACATCTGAGTCTGGCCCAGAGGAACCTCTATGGAAACTCGGCTCAGGAGAAGGTTACAAACATCAGTCTGATGCGTAAGGACAGGCCTCTGGCTGGTCCCTAGCTGTGCTCACCTTTCCCATCATTAACCCTGACTCAGCCCTGTGAACCCACATTTCCTACATGCTCTCACCCTTCCTTCCCCTTCTTCTGGCCTCTGCTTCCACACTTCTCTCAGCCCCTGCCATTTTGAATCCCGCCCAGTCCCCTTATCTTCTGTTGCTAATCGCTACTGATTCTTGCTGTTATCTTCTCTGATCATGATTCCCTCAAGATCTCCTCCTCTGCTCCCTTTTTTCTTCCCTTTTCAAGGGTCCCATATAATTTGTCATTTTCAGACATCCCTTAATATCTGAAAGTTCCACAAACACCTCTGCCTGATCCCTTCTTTACCTCAGAGGAAGTTTTCTTCACTCTCTGTGAACACTACTATATATGTGTAATTTTCTTTAAACATGCTTTGCCCTGTTAGATACTCTCCCCTGCAAATTGACCTTTCTTATTATCTTCCCATACTCTGCCACATGTTTAGGACTGTTGTGACTGCTCTCCTGGTACACCTGTTGATTTTTTGTTTGTTTTAATTTGGAACATCCTATTCCTTACCCTAGAGATTGTTTTTCTAGATTCAGGCAACAAATGACATTTAAATTATTAACATATTATTTTAGCTGAAGAAGTTGTAACTAAAGATGGATTGTTTAACACAAAGCAAGAAACTTCTGAAGAAATGGAACGAGGTGCTGAGGTCTCAGGAATACCCAACAGGTGAGTGTCCATGGTCCTAAGTAGAACAAATCCTACAGATGTGAGAAGAAATTGAAATGAAACCGGAGAAACCAGTTGGTAAAAGCCTGCTTTCCTGGAATAATACAGAAAGAGTAATGGTCACTTCTGTGGTCATAGGAGGTCCCACGCCAAGGAGGTGACCTGTCAGTATATCATAATTATACAAAACTTCCATTTGGTACACGGTTGCCTCCAAGAATTCGCTCTGACTCAGTTTACCTTGCCTGATCACTCTTCCCCTGGCTCCCTTATGTCGTGGGGCTACAGATACTGAAGCCAGAAAGAGAAGAAGATAGAGAAGCAGAGGATTTAGACAAGAGAGTGAGGTCTGCAGGTAAGGTTTGTTGCCATGATGGTTAAGAAAGAAATATCATCAGACCTGGAAGAGGACTTAGGGAAGACAGGTAGGGTATCTTCGACCTCCATTAGGAGAATCCTGAGCAAGAATTAAAAGGAGAGTAGCTGATGACGAAGGACAAATTAAAGATAGTAGTGGGTGCTTAATGAGTGTTGGTTGTGGAATGAATGTCTAGCATAGGTGCTCCTAAAGCAGAAAGAGAGGGACCGGATCATGAGCAAAGGTTGGGTTCTGGTGAGGCCATTAACTCCTTGGAGACGTGAGGAAAGAAGAAAAAGGAAACAGCATGCGATAATTACACTGAAGAGTAGGGCAGGGGATGAGGATTCTCCTTATTGACATTTGTTCATCTTAGGGAAACAAGGAGCTAAATCTCAGTTAAAAGAGAAATGCCTTGAAGCCTAAAAAGAGAAGTAAGATCTTTCATAAAGCTGGTGAAGTCCGAGCCAAGCTGCACTAAAGTAAGAGAAAGAACACTGTGACTTAGCTCAGAGTTATAACTGGAGAATAGGAACCTGCTGTTGTGTCTGTCAGGTACCTTTACATCAGGTAACTGAAACCATTACTCATAGTGCCTCCGAGAATCAAGATACCTTACTGTTTTACGTAACAAGTAGTCTGAAGGGGTAGGATGTTCTAGGTTTGGTGTTCCATCATGATGTCAGAGACTGAGTGTATCCCCCCCGCACTCCCAGCAACCTCCCCACTCATTCAGCAAGCATTTTATCACTCATATTCAGTCATGTATAAGACAGAGACCCTACCTTCAATAAGTCACATGAGGGTACAGCAGATGAGAAAACAGAACACAATGCAGTATGATGACGTGCCCTGTAGCTATGATAGAGCATGGAGGAGAGGACCCAACAGATCTGGATACTGGAGAAGACCTCCCAGAAGAGGTAACATTTGAAACAAGCCCTGATAAGTAAGCAGGAATTATCAGCTAAAGAGGAGGTGGATCAGAGAGAGGCAGAGAAAGAAAATGCAAATGCCTAGAGAGGACAGGAGAAGACTAGGAGAGAAGAGTCACAGGAGCCACAGAAGATCATTTTATTATTTTATTTATTTATTATTTATTTAGCCACGCTGGGTCTTAGCTGCGGCATGCAGGATCTTTTAGTTACGGCATGCGGGATCTAGTTCCCTGACCAGGGATCGAACCCGGGCCCCCCTGCATTGAGACCGCAGAGTCTTAACCGCTGGACCACTAGGGACGTCCCAGAGGATCATTTTAAAGAGCAAGTTTCTGCTTGAAAAATTCTGGGTCCTCTTTGGAGTAGGAAAGGAAGTCATGTTTGGAGATAGACTGGTAGATTTGAGAAGAGTGATGAAACACCTGTTGTGGGGAACAGGGAAGAAAGGGACGAGAGGACATGAGAAGGATTTCTGGGCAGTGTTGAGTAACTAGCTGAGTTTTGGAGACCATCATATTTAGCAGTGTCAGTCTACCTCGTTGTTTGATTTCTCTGGCACTACTCACTCCTGGGTGAGGAACAGAGAAGACTAAGGATGGGGTTGATGTGGTGCTGAGTTTTGCTGGCCCACCACTACAGAAGGACACTGGGGCAGGGTGATTGATGATCCTGGCAAGAGAAGGACTAAGGTGGTGATGGATCACGAGGTCTAGACAGAATAGGAAGGGAGGTAAAAGCAGGAGGAAACGGAGGAGTCAGAGTGAGATGGAAGAACAGGTGTTGTGGGACAAGAGTGCAAGGAGGCTAGAGTGAAAAGGAATTGGCTACAGAGTGAGCTCTTGGAGTTCAGTTTTCACCAGTGGAAAGTTCAGTGTAGTGACAGGATTCAAGGAGGGCCCCTGAAGTTGAAGATGTCAGGGAACTCTAAGATGGATCTACTGAATGGATCATACATGCAGACATTAAAGACACCCAGGATGATAAATGCTCTAAGCAAACAAATAAGTATATATAGTGTAAATTATATTACAACATACTTTTTCACTGCTTTTTCCTCCCTTATGTCTCCTTAAATTGGTCTAATTTAATGTACCAACAGGACATTTGTAAGTGAAATGCACATTTCTAGAATTAAAGTTTACGTAAAATAATACTTTCCATCTTAGTAACTTTAGCCTGTTTCCTTGAAAACTGCATAAAAATCAGTCCAAGGGCAATAAGTTTGAGTTTCTCTTTTGTTTCTCCCCAGAAACAGTGCGTCCACCAGATGAATGCAGAACTAGGGGAGGCTAAGTTGTTCCATGTTCAGAAATTCTGTGAGAGGTGAGGGGGCTCAGTAAATAACAACCCATTTCCTTGTCCAAATTCAGAACCAATTGATAGAGAAACAGGAGTAAAACAGATGATTCTGGAAACCTCTGCTTTATGACTGACAGAAGCTAGACTGATAAAGCCGCTCAGAGGCAGAGCTAAGTGGCCACATAGTGACAGCAGACCCTCCCCCCGCATAGGCCTTCCTGTTGCATTTTGGGGGAAAAAGGAACATGGAATGTCTGCAGCTGGCTTCTAAAGAGGACAGCCCAGTTCTTTCTCCCAGATTCAACAATTAGTTAAGTCATGAGGAGTGAATGGGAAGTGGGAAGAGGCCAGAAATGTTCAGTCTGGCCAAAGCCCTCCCCATGGAAACATGAGGAGTGAGAAGGAAGTATTCCCCACAAAAGAATCCTTAGGCGTCAGTGGATTTATCCTGTATCAGTGAAAGTCTGAGAATTTTTATAGCATACGTTCTTTTTTCTTTCTCAGAGATTGGGTACCCCAGGCCCCTTGTAGTACCCCTGTTCCTGCTGGAAGGACAG